TTCAAATAGAGTTCATTAAATTCAGCAACTCCTCTTAACTGGGCTGGGTTGTTTACTACTCCCCACAGTCTTGGATGGGCTTTGAGGGTCTGGTGCGGTGTCCAGCAAATGGCTGGAATGCAGGTGAGGCTGCCACCATGAAGGAAGCTGGAGGGAGGAGCTGTTAACCTCATGGTACTGTGGCAACATCAGCCACCATTACGTGTCACGGGGTGGATGCTGAGGAAGAGAAAACAGAGAAGAGCTGGAGAAGCTCACACAGTAGATACAGTGGAAGGCAGGTGACCCAGCTGGCAGCCCATTGCAGGGGGCGGTGGAGGTGGCGATGTGCTGTCCCCACCACATGGAGCTTGCTTGCTTCTGCACACCTCTTTGCTGGCTGCAGCCTTGCTACTCAGTGGGCGGTTGTGGAAAGAATCGGTTCTCGGTTCCCATCCCAACTCTGCTATTTAGACACTGGGAGACCTGGAAACAACCCGTTGACAAAGTCTTGTTCTTCACGTTTCTGCAGTGATCGTCCATTTGAAGGGATAGGGAAATATTCCCTCAATGTCCTGCAGTGAAACTGTTGAAACCACTCCTCCTATGAAACTCACTCCTTTGGGTTAAGCATTGCCTTCTCGGCCCTTTCCTGTGTGGTTGGAGTGTTGGCACAGTGAGGCGGATGTTGCTAATGGACGCATCGGGGTGTTCTGCACAGGCTGGCCTGCATAGCCCAGGGGTGGAGTGAGGGGTCAGGCTAGAGCCTATGGAGATTTGGTGGACAACAGGCCCAGGCTCAGTCCAGCCAGCCCAACCTCTGATTGTTATCCTCAGAGTCCCTCCAGGGTCTCCTTGGCAGGGGCTGTCCCCTGTGAGCCTCTGCAGGGGACAGGAAGTGCTGACTGAGAACTGTCTCTCTCACATGCGCCCTGTCAAATCCATAAACCTTCCTCAGCAGTCACCACACAGAATCCCAAAACCCCAGGGTTCTGCTTGAGTTTGAGCTATACAGGCTCAAGGACTAGAAGGAAGCACCAGCCTTGTTCTGCCCCAGCTAGAGGGTCTGTGCTGCCCCAGCTAGAGGGTCTGTGCTGTCCTGGCAGAGGCCTATAGGAGGCAGACACATTCACCTCTACTTCCTGTCTGCCCATGGCTTCGTGGTCTTCTCACCCCAGCTGGCCAACTGGCTTCCCACCACTATGGGCCTTGCCCTGCCCATGCCGGGCCTGATGGCCTGGCTCAGACTTTAGCATCTAAGGATACTGCTGCCTTGACCACCAGAGCCCCACCTGTCTGTGCGTCTGTCCTCTGTTCAGCTCTGTGAAGGCCACCAGGAACACAAGAGTCAACAACCCATGGCCTTTGTCTTCAAGGAACTTGAGGTCTCACTGGGCAGACAAGCACGGAGTGAGTGCTCCACCACGGGCCTCCCTTCCTCCAGGCTGTAGCCAGGACTATGCTGTCTAGCGTGTCTGCTGTGACTTCCTCACGGCAGAGCCCCACACTATGGCTGTTTATGGAGCATTTGCATGTTTCCCTCGAGGGGAGGCAGTGTCTCTCATGGACAGCTTGGGAAGATTCACATTCTTCGAAAAGCAGAGGAATGTGAGTGTTAAAATACCTTAAAGGGCAAGGAGGTGATTTCTAGATTTCCAGACAATGTCTCAGAGATTGTAGTGCTCTGGGCTATGCCTGAATGTAACCAGTGTAGCTCCTTTTGTGCCTGCGTGTAGACTGAGTCCATGTGTCCACATGCATTCAGTTCCTCCCACCAAACTGGACAGTGATAGCTAACCCTGTTGACCCTTATGTCTGGGTGCCTTAAATGTGTGATGCCTCAAATTGACCTTCACAATGACTCTAAGGAGGTAAGTACTGTGATCTTCCCCAGTTTCTACAAGAAGAAACTGTGGCACAGGGAGATTCAGAGGGCCCTAGCTTGGAGCAGCGTTCATGTGCACTGTGTGTTCATGTTTAGTGTATGTCTGTGCATACCTGTGTGTGTGCACATGCACACGTGTTCACTCAGATGCATGGGCTGCCCTGCGGTGGGAGCTGAGAGAATGCAGTGGAGGTTGCTGGGAGGAACTCACCCGCCTGCTCCGGTTGTCTGAGCAGGTGAAGGATAGTGATATTAAGTGCGAAGACCAGGCCCTGAAGCCAGCCTGACAGTTTCAGCTGTTAGGAGAAAGTGAGGGTGGGTGCCATGGATCTGACGATATCAGTGATTTTCTACTCAAGAAAAATGAAGTCATGGATGGGCAGAGCTTAACTCTCTTAAAAACTTGGCATAGGGCAAGGTGTGAGTTTCCTGGGGAGACTGTGTGAACTGTGAACAGGTAGAATCTGAAACTACAAGCCAGATGTTTCCTGGCTCCCTCCCGCCTGGTCTGACCTGTCTTCCTTCAGCTGCTGCGCAGTTCATCCTGGGTCCCTGAGGGGCTCGCAGATGCTTCACTCCAAAGATCTCAGTTGCAGAGTCCCCTGTGGAGGAATTGAACTGCCCCCTCTCTCAGGACTCCAGTTGGCAAGGGTTTGCTCCTCCCTGGAGGGGGGAGACCCTCACTGAAACCCTGGAGAGGGCCACTCGGGGCAGCAGCTCATTCCCAAAGTTCTCTGGTGGGGCTGGGGAGTGGCACCCTGGGGACTCTGGGGTTTCCCCACCAGCTCCTCTCTCCAGTCTTTCGTGTCCGGGTGCAGTCTCCAGGCCGTGGCTTCTTGAGTTCTGTATGTGGATTGCTGCTCTATAATACATAGTTGGGGGACCATTTTGGTTGGTGACAGATCACTGCTGCCTTTCATCAGACCAAAGTACACGTGGCTTCTTCTCCTTGCCAGCCCTACCTTGGCATCTCCCATTACACTAACCCTGCCTATTGGACCTTCTGATGCAAGGAACAGATTAAAATCCCCTCCCGGTTGCCCACCAGGTCCATGGCTACAACTAAATCCCTAGTTGGGGCGTCACAGAACACAGGTAAGCCCTTGAGTTCTGGAGCCAGCTTACTGGGGCGTGAGTCTTCCTTACTTCCGTATGGATGGTGAGCCCTCCTCTCTCAGGTCTCACGATAGTAGCTAACCCTTATTTAGTGTGTGCCAGGCACTGACTGAGTGCTTTACAGTTGCCACCTCCTAAGACCCTCATAACTCTAGCAGGTAGTAAGTACTATTATCTTACCCATTTTCCAGAGAGAGAAATAGAGGCAAGAGCAGAATAAGTCACTTGCCCAAGTCACATAGCTACTGATGGTGTGATGTTGGGCAAGATATGTAATGTTTCCGAGTCTCAGTTTCCTCATCTGTAAAGTGCAGTTAATACCATTGTCTGTCTGGGGTGTTATGAGCCTTAAACAGGGTAATACACACAGCACCTAACAGAGTCCTAAGCACATGGTAGGCACTCAACAGGCAAGGCCACTTAACAAGAGTATGTGAGCCCAGCTGGAGGAGAGAGAAAAATACAATGACTATAGCACTAATCACAGTAGTGATCAAATAAGTAATGCACTCCTGAATGCTTGACTTTCCTGAGCACAACGTAAACTCCCTGAGGGAGTTTGCCTTACTCACTTCTGGTTCAGTTCCGTGGCTTTGCACAGATCTGGCACAAGGTGGGTGCTTGGTGAAGGTTTGCTGAATGAATGAGGGACTGCTTTGGGGGTCCAAGGGGTCATTCACAGCATCAGACAGCCCCTTCCTAGCCACCCTGCTCTCTCTGCCTTGTGGCTGTGATCTGAGTGTTTTTGCTTCATCCCTATTGGAGAGGAAGCTTCCCAAGCCAGGGCAAGCCTGGATCTTGCCCACCTCTGTTTTCCTCATAGAGAAGATGTTCAGGGCCTGTGAGTGAAGTTGGACCTCCTTGTAGCTTGCCCTGGGTGCAAAACGATCATCCTCTTGGGCAGAAAACAGAAATTGCTGGCAACTACAGACCCAGGGATTCGAGTCAGCCAGGGGAACAGGGCTGTGCCCTCGGCGCCTCAGATTCCTGGGAGAGTGGTGTCTGGGATCATGGTGACCATGTAGATCCTCCCTGCATCACACCAGTGAATGTTGTTTCTAAACCACACTCTCTCCTTCTCAGCATGGCGTGGCAAGTGGCTGCTCCCCTTGTTCACTGAGAAAATCCTCTCACCTTTGGCGTGCCTGGCTCCTAACGAGTCCCTTATTTGGAAGGAACACCCCCACCCCCATTGGTGTGTGACTCACCCTGAGTGAAATAACTGCTGGGCTGAATTCTTACACAATGCCCCACCCCATCCCCTCATTCCCTGAAGACCTTTGCCCTCAAGTCAGCCAAGGCCTTGATCCAGAAGTGACAGAGAATGGGGAGTGTGAGGATGAGGATGATGACGGGGACAATGAATTTCCAGGCAGGCCCAGCTCCCAGCTCCCATCCTCAGGAAACCCTGAGTCCTGCCTGCATCTTTTCCAGAAATGTGAGTCCCACCTTTCCAATTTCCTCTTACACCTCGTCTATATTTCCCACCCCCACCTCTGCATGACAGCGTGGCGTGCATGTGGCCCATCTGGGGATCAGGGAATCCTATTGGGTGTGCCAGCTTCATGAAATACTTGCAGTTTATTAAACTCAGGCTTTCCTAAGCCCCGCGTGCCTGTGGGTATTTGAAAGCTGAAGGTAACACCAAGCTACCACAAATGTAATTGTTACATGTGTCCACGCATTCCTTGTACAACCTCAAACTCCCGCTCTTAAGCAGCACGCAAAATGAACCACATAAAGTAACTCCTAGTCAGACAAGAGGGGGAAATGTGTGGAAATGCTGAGAGAGGCTCCCCAGAACCCCTCAGGGTCTCTAAAAGTATATGAAGTTCCCATTACTTTGCATAACTCTGGCCACAGAGGGTGCTTCTCCACCCCGGACTGTTTGTTCAGTGTTTGCAGAATTGGTTCATTATGAGCAAGCCAGCCAGCGGGTTTTACTTGTCAAGCTTGCATGATGCTGTTCAAATACTTCAAGTCCTGTTTCATCTAGCAAAGACTTGCTCTAATGGCAGGGCTAGCAGAGTGTACTGTCTGGGGGTTCCCTCTGGAGCTGTATTTCTGTTCCTCCTCCAGGTCTTGGCTGGGGAGGGCTGTCCCAAGTCTGGGAAGGGCCGTGGAGAAACCCCAGGCAACCTGAAGTCTGCTGCCCTAAACCAGGGGGAGGCTGCTCCTGGGAGATGCCTTCCCATTCGTCAGTTTCCTCAGCCTCAGGTCTGTAAATCAGGGGTGAAGGGCTGACATGGAAATAGCAGACAAAGGCCTCCAGGGATGTGCCTTCTTCTACGCGAACCAGCATCTGGATGCCTGAGAAGGAGAGCCTGTTGACGGTACTCAGGGTGACCTGCTCCAGGTACCTCAGCGTCAGCCCATTGACCCACACACAGCCCTTGCGGCTCAGGACCTTGAGGCAGAAGGCCAGCATGGCACTGCCTTTCTCCAGGTAGGGCTCCAGGGACAGGTGACGACGGGAGAGGTGGGGGAGCTGCAGCTGGAGGTGGGCGTCCTGCCCTCGTCCGAGCAACAGAGGGCTGGTGTCATGCTGCAGCCGTGGTGGCACATTGGCAAAGGCAGATGGGCCCAGTGTGGGGTGGTACAGGCTCACTCGCAGGATGGTGAGGGGCTTCTCCATGGATGAAGGCCTGGGAAGATGGAACATGGACACACAGGCTCAGCTTGAGTCAGAGACCTCTCTGGCTCCCTGAGCCCAGACACAGTTGCCCACCTCAGGGGCCCTGTGCCTGTTCATACAATCACTCTGCCCAAGCCAGGATGGAGCCAAGGCTGGAACTGGTGTGGAAGGTCATGAGCTTCGTCTCTCCCATACTCTGAATAGAACGTGCCACCCACTCTCTCTGACTTCTGGATTTCTGTAGTATAGGTATGTCCGTCCTTGTCTATGCAAGGGATCAGGCATGCTGTCTTGCAGGAGGGACACAGAATGGGGAGGCTTAGCCATAGTCTTGGCCACCAGAAAGGCTGACTAGAAACCCTAGTGAAGAATAAACACAGCTAGCACATTCCAAGTGGTTACTATGGGTACTTGGTGGAAGGCCACTTACAATGACCAGCTTTGTTCCTGCATGGGTTTGAGGAACACAAACTCTGCTATGTCCACCAACGTCATGTGACCCAGGACCTGCCATCACCTTCAACAGGAACCAAGGGTTGAGCAGATTTGAATAACTAATTATACATTCTCTGGGTACCAGGCTTTTGCTCACATTATTTCTCTCCTAAGAAGGTATCTTCTATTCCAAACTCTGCGTCCAAGTACTGCCCATGGTTCAAGGCCCTGCTCAAATGTTACCTCTCCTGTGAAGCTCCCTTCCTTGGGAAAGGTAACCTTTCACTGCCTCTGACTCCCACAACAGGGAGAATCCCCCAGGACACCTGGCCAGCCTTACTCCCCATTCATTCCATCTTTGCATTTCATGCCCAAGTTCTGTGGGCCCTTGTCCTGTCTTCCCTGAGCTCCTCTCTTCCTGTCCCTGAGGCCTCCCGAGGACTGAGTGTGGTCTGGGCTGTGGTTCGTGCTGCCCCACGTCCCACTGCCCCGTACAAATAGGGTTTGGCCACCATAAATGTCCAGGGACACATTTGCCAAGTGGCTGAATGAGAAGCCCACACACACACACACGGTGAAATCACCCAGAGAGACCACAAATGGGATCAGGTCTCAAAGGCTGTACGAGCCTGTTGCAGGTGGCTTGAACCCAATGTCCCTCTAGGTCTTGAACCTTTTAGATGCAGTAGGATAATGGCTGGGACCTTTTAGTCTGATAGTGAGGGCACCCTTTCACTATCAGAGGCCTCAGGGCACCCTCTTTCCCCTAAGGCACAGACACATGTATGTCTCTGTCCACACCCCATCTGGCCATAGTCTGAAGAAAGCCTCTCTTTTTTCTTTTCTTTTTTTCTTTTCTTTTTTTCTTTCTTTCTTTTTTTTTTTTTTTTTTTTTGAGATGGAGTCTCGCCCTGTCACCCAGGCTAGAGTGTAAGTGGCATGATCTCAGCTCATGGTAGCCTCCGTCCTCCAGGTTCAAGGGATTCTCCTGCCTCAGCCTCCCGAGTAAGTGGGATTACAGGTGCCCGCCACCACGCCCAACTAATTTTTTTATTTTCAGTAGAGACAGGGTTTCACCATGTTGGTCAGGCTAGTCTCAAACTCCTGCCCTCAGGTGATCTGCCCGCCTCAGCCTTCCAAAGGGCTGGGATTACAGGCATGAGCCACCACGCCTGGCCAGAAAGCCTTTTCTTGAGGTGTGGGATACAGGCTGAGCCTAGGACAAGTGGGCTGGGCAACCATGCTGTCAGGCCTGGCTGGAAACTCAAGAGTTCACTCCCAGAAACTAATCTCATGGCCCAGAGACCCTGAAAGAATTCCTTAGGAAGAAAGATTCATTGTTGCTCTGTGGCCTTACTCTCTGCTCCACTGAACCACCCAGAGCTAACAGAAATCTCCCACCAAAGAGGAGCCCATCCATGAGAGGCTGTCCTGTGTCTTTTGGATCCCAGGTGTTCTGGGGAAACAGAAACCCAGCCCTACAAATCCAGCCTTTGGGATGAGGCAGGAGGAAGACACTCCAGAGTGTGTGTCTCGGGGGAAGCCCTCCTCCCAGACCCACCAGGCCTTCCCTTCTCCCCATGGGTTCAAGTCCCTCTGGCTTCCACTTACCTTATTGCCAGGGCACATCTGACTCTAGTCCTGCAGCTGTGAGCTCTTGGGAGCGAGCAGGCTGGTTTGGGTAGGGCTGGGGAGGGCTCTCACGGCTATGGTTCAGGAACATGACAGAACACACTTCAGTTTTGTTGCAGTCTTCCTTTTTCCCTTTAGGAAAGAAAATAGAAGTGTAATTTTTCATTGCAGAAGTGCTATTCCACTGCTGAGAGTTTGAGAAACCCCAGCGTGGGGCCCCTTCTGAGATAGATGGCGTGCCTTCCTGGGTTTCAGTTCTGCCAGCCTCTCCTACCCCACCCCCAGGGACCTTAGGACTTGCACCCAGGGTATCTGCAAAGTTCCTCTCCACCTGCCAGTAGGATGGGGTCAAAGCAGCCCAGGCATGTTAGAAAAAAAGAGCCTTTTGGGACAGAGGGCTACTGGACGGGAGAGCCCCCCTGAGTGTGGGAGAATGAGGAGAGCATTCTGGCTGGATAGAAGTTGGCCAAGGAAACTGTAGGTAACATGGCACTTCCCTGAGGGTCTCAGGAGAGGGCAGAGCCTGGGGACGGGGAGGATGGAGAGGGCAGTAAATGGCCACTCGTAGAAGATGGTCTCTCCTGCAGAACAGTGAGAAGGCGGTCTCTGGTGCCCACTCCCCATTGCCCGAGCTATGCTTGTTTGCATGCAGTTTGGAAGGGGTGAAAATGGTCGCATGTCCAGCACTGAGGGCTCTGGCTGTCCTGGAAGTGGCTAAATGTGAAGGTGCTAACCCTTTACATGGCCCAGAAATCCTTAGTTCACCAGTGTGTTCAAGTCACCTGCATTATCTCCTGGGAGTTTTATAGTTCTATACATACATTTTAATTTTTATGACACATGTAAGGTTTGTGTCTAGATTTTTTTTTTTTTTTTTTTTTTTTGATTTTCAGTTTTCTCATGCCCTTTTTCCCATTTTCTGAAAAGACCTTTTTTTTTTTTTCAGTGTTTTCTCTTCACTTCTTTGTCAAAGATTGGTTGACTGTATTCATGTGGGTTTATTTCTGGGCTATCTACTTTGTATCATTGATCTATTCGTCTGTTTTTTCACCAATATCATACTGTCTTGATTGCTGCAGCTTTGTAGTAAGTCTTGAAGTTGGGTACTGCCAGTCCTTCAGTTCTGTTCTTCTCTTTCAATTTTGTCTTGGCTCTTTTGAGTTGTCTCTCCATATAAACGTTAGAATCAGTTTGTTAATAGCCACAAAATAACTTGCTGGGATTTTAATGAGACTGCATCAAATCTATCAATAAAGGAGGGAAGAACTGACATCCTGACAGTATTGAATCTTCCTATTCATGAACATGGGATATCTCTCTGTTTATTCAGTTCTTTGATTTCCTTCATCATAGTTTCATGGGTTTCCTCATATAGATCTTGTACATGTTTTGTTAGGTTTATACAGAAATATTTCTTTTTGAATATTAATGGAAATGGCATTGTGTTTTTTATTCCAAATTCCACTTGTTCATTGTTGGCACACAGGAAAGTAATAATTTTATGTATTAATCTTGTATCCTGCAATTGTCCTTTAATCACTTACTGGTTCCAGGAGCTTTTTTTGTCAATTCCTTTGGATTTTTTACATGGACAATTATGTCATGTGCAAATAAAGACAGTTTTTTTTCTTCCTTCCCAATATGTATACCTTTTTTTCCCTTTTATTCTTACTTCATTGGTTAAAACTTGTTGGTTAAATGACGTTGAAAAAGAATACTGAGAGGGGACATCCTTGTCTTGTTCCTGATCTTAGTGGAAAAATTTCTGGTTTCTTATCAGTAAGAGTATGATGTTAACTGTAGGATTTTTGCAAATGTTCTTTTTCAAATTGAGAATGTTTTCATTTATTCCTAGTTTGTTGAAGATATTTTGCTCTAAAGTAACTGACAACCTAGAATTCCATACCCAGATAAAGAATACTTCAGAAATAAAGATGACATGAAGTCATTTTCACCCAAAAACTGAAGAATTTGTCAACAGTACACATACCCTAAATTCTAGTGTTCTTCAGACAGAAGAAAAGTAGTCCCAAATGAAAGCATAGAAATGCAGAAGAAAATGAAGAGCAATGGAACTGGATATATTCATACAAATCAAAGTAATGTTAACCATATGAAAAATAATAATGATGACATTTTATTTTTGAAACTTTTATTTTAGTTTCAGGGATATATGTGAAAGTTTGTTACATAGGTAAACTTGTGTCATGGGGTTTTGTTGCACAGATTATTTCATCACCCAGGTATTAAGCCCAGTACCCAATAGTTATCTTTCTGCTCCTCTCCCTCCTCCCACTCTCTACCCTCAAGAAGATCCCAGCATCTGTCGTTTTCTTCTTTGTGTTCATGAGTTCTCATCATTTAGCTCCCACTTACAAGTGAGAACATGTAGTATTTGGTTTTCTGTTCCTGTGTTAGTTTGCCAATAGGATGATGGCATTTTAAAACGTGTTTAGAATATATGTATAATTACATGACAACAATAACATCAAAAGTGGGAGGGGTAAAAATGTAATTATAGTGTCCCAAGGTCCTTGCATTGTCCAGGATGCAATAAAACTACAATTTAAGGTAGACACTAATAAGTCAAAGATGCATGATATAATCTCTAGGATAATCAATAAAAGAATAAGAATGTCTTAGTGACAAGCTAATAGATGGGAAGTGGAGTGATACATTATCAATGACAATGAAGACTGAGAAGGCTTGGAAAGGCACAGTGGAATAGGGAGGACATCCAGGTAGGGAGGGTGAGGACAGCCCCAGACCAGGCCTGCAGCTGGGTTAGGTAAAATTGAAGGGGAGAAGAAGGGCTCTGGCACTGACTCTTCCTGGGCAGACACTGAAGCATTCCAGTAGCTCACCTCCTGCCTTCCTCTAGGCCGAGGCACTTGAGACCCTTCAGCATGGTGGCCTTGGAGGCTGTTTCCTCTAAGGGTTTCTGACTCTGCTCTTCTCCCGGGGGTAGGCTGCTACTCTGGAGGCCTCACTGGTTACACCTGGGCCTTTTCTGACCACCCTGAGATCCTCAGGGCCAGATGCTCAAATAACTGACCTGGAAGCTCAGCAAAGGGAAGTGACCAGCCAAGGTTACAGAGTAAATCTGTAGCACAGCTGGGTGAGGACTTAGGTGAGCTGACTCCCAGTCCTCAGGCCTAGCCACAATACACCTCCACAGTCCAGATAGCTTGATAGCTGTGCCACATACTCCCTCTGGGTCATACTTGGGGCCAGTCTTATGGGTCTGGAAACAAGTGTGGCTCCTGGTTCCTCAATAGCAAGTTGAGCAGAGAGGTGGGGGGTCTGGGGGGAGGGCAGTGAGGGGCAGGGCTAGCCCCCAGAGCCACAAGATGTTTGGTAGCAAACCAAGCAAGACAGGTGACTGAAGCTCAGTGAAGTCCCCATCATGGTCTTTGCATGTCTCCAATTGCCTTTTCTTGTATCCTTCCCCCATCCCCTGTATCCTGGCTCTTCCTGGTACTGGGGAAGGGTGGGGAGCAAAGCTCAGATCACTGAGAAAATCCTCTTCTGACAATTCTTGGGGACATGCTATGACTCCTTCTCTAGGACTTGCTATGACTCCTATGGAAGGCAGTAGTAACCTAAAGGAGTGGTTCTAAGAGCATGCCAGACCTGCTGTTTGCTCTGTGCAGGAGAGAAGCCAAGTACAGGCAAGGCAGCTAGAATGACCAAAACCCCAAATGGCCACTCCAAGGCAAGAAAGAAACCATGTGCAGGCTGGGCAGCTAGACTTGATCCTGAGCCTCTTGCTGGCACCACAACCCTACTCAGTGCAGTGATAGACAATGATTGACTGAAAATGCGAATGGCTACTCCAAGGCACTTCAAGGGCTGCAAAGGCATATGGACGGGGCTGAGCCTACTGTGTGAAGGGGGTTGGACATGTTCCAGAGCCTTTCCTCTTATCAGTCTCCCTAGTCCAAAGATCACCTGGCCTGCTGAGTGTCCCTAGACCCTGGGAAAGGGCCTCATCTTTGGGGCTCCAGTCTGGGCAAGACCTCAGTGATCCCTGGATATTTCTGCCCACCAGCAGAGTAAGGTAGTGGGCAGAAGTTTGGTAGGGAGCTTTGTCATCCCTAGATATGTGACCTCAGGCAAGTCCTATCTCCTCCCTGGGCCTGTTTTCCTCCCATTGCCTTCTGTTGCAATTGTGAGTCATGAGGGGAGGGCTACGTCCATGCTCACAGCCCTGGTGTGGGAGGGTGACTGGGCAGAGGACATGTGTTCATGGTGCCTGTGTCCTTAATAACTTGGGTCACAGCAGTTTCCAACCAGAAAGAGAACTGAAACAACCAGGGAATTCCCTGGCAAGGAGAAGTCCTGCCCAGGCTGCATCCTTTAGAAGCCAGGAGAAATGCCCCAGGTTTGTGGGAAGGAGTATGCATACACAGTGTTGGTTGTTGGCTTACTGGAGGTGGATAGGAGCTGGAAGTCTCACAAAGGGAGAGTGAGAGCCCAGAAGGGCTGGGGAAGTGCCGGTTTCACTCAGCCTGGCCGCCTTGGCTAGGACAGTCTCTGGTTGGGTGTTGGGCATCTGGTGTTGGGATCCTGGGGCATATTACATCAGTCAGCAAATGTCCCCCATCATGTGCTCAGGGATGGCTCAAGGACAGAACAATTGCCTCCCCAGGCAACCCCTGAAACTCCCACCTCCGGGGCTTTCTCCAACATTAGACCAATGGGGTTTCTGCTGCCAGATGGATTCAGGTCTGACTGAGGCTTTGCTCCTACGTGTAACAACTCAAGCAAGTTATGCAGCCTTTCTGCACCTCAGTTTTCTGCTCTGTAAAATGGGGACAAATTGCTGTTGCTGTGAGGACTCGAGATACGTGGAAAGTGCCAAGCATGCGGCGAGAATAGATAAGTGAGAACTGCTCTTAGTAGAACCCTTGGCGGTAGAGTAAAAATGCACCCTGGGGACAGGGGCTGTCAGAGGAGACTTAACAACGCACACACAAAACCTAAGTTTTCAGACAGCTCCTGTTTTTGCTTAAAATAAGCATGGCTTTAGAGTTGAATTCCTAATGTGCATGAGTTTCCCATAAATTCCATTTTAGATTATAATAAAGTAAAAGGAATTCTCCAAGTAATTGCTGGGACCTGTGTCCTTGACGTCCAGGAAGGCTCTCCATCTCACAAATGAGGAAGCTGGGGCTCAGAGCAGGTAGTTGAC